GCAATGCCCACAGGTGTTGGCTACCAATTTTCTAAATGAAAGCCAGCAGCCCAGGTGAATAGGAGGACTTCACTGAAGAACTTTTACCAGAGGACCTCACTGTAACAGAGGACAACACTAAGCCATGACGAGATGCCATTTTCCTTAGAATCGCTACAAAATCCTGTTCAATGCAGAATTTTTAGACCAGCAACAACCGAAGCCAAGTGACTTAAGTGTATTCTCTTATACAGAGGCGGCTCTTTAATTAGGCAAATTAGGCGGTCGCCTTAGGCCGCGCGCTCCCGCCTAGTTTTCCCTGTCAGAACGGCAGCCAGGTAGCGTTGTGAGCTCTCATCCCCGTAGCTGTCAAACGGAGACTCTCAGTTTGACAGTGACTGGGCTGAGAGCTCATCCGTTACCTCGATCGTTGGTGCGAACCATCGGCTCGGTCTTCTGCACGGAGCTCCGCCCACCAGCCAATGAGAAGAGACCTCACCCCCCATCCACCACACGAGGATCTCTGGCTGGGGGGGCAGAGTTTAACTGCAGAAGCTGATGGAGACGCCCGCAAGACACGGCCAGCACAGCTGTCAGGAAGCCAGAGCCAGGATTCTTTCATTGCCGTTTGCGCATGGTGCAGCTAATAGAGTTGTGTCAGGTGCAGCGTCTCTGCGTAAACGTGTGCGCCACGTGCACGTTCACGCGCACGTGCGCGCAGGCGTGCGCCGACGTGTTGTTTGAGTTTTTGGCGCCCTCTGGGCTATATAAGGCTGTGACTAACAAACCTCCTTTGCTGTCAGATCGTCAGCTTCCCTGTGTTCCTATATCCTGCTCCTAAAGTGTTCCTATTATCTTGACCCGGCTTGGCTTGACCTTTCTGCTTCTCTCCAGTGATTGACCCTCGGCTTGTTCCAGACCATCCTCCTGCCTCATCCGCTGTACCTCGCTGCCTGCATGTTGATGACCTCGGCCTGTCCTGACTACACTGCTATTCTTGTCTGCTGCTCCTGCTCATCGAATTCAGGTACTACTGGCACTCCTGCCCCTCTGTGCCCCGATGCTCCTGTACCCATTCAGGAGCCCCAAGACCAGAGAAGTGGGAGAGGCCGCCCTCGACATCTCAGACTCCCCTAAGGTACGTGACAACAGCACACACAGTACTGGAGTGGCAGCCTGGACAGCCTTGTGGAAAGCAGGTGAGAGCCCTGTGGAGAGCCCTGTGGAGAGCCCTGTGGAGAGCCCTGGTTTAGCCAGGGCTCTTTGGGATCTCGCCCTGATGAGACCCCACAGAATCCTGCTACCCTGGTGAGGCCCCCTCAGAGCCCTGGTGAGACCCCACAGATCCCTGGTCTGTGAGGTCTCACCAGGGCCCTGAAGGGGTCTAACCAGGCTGGTGAGACCCCACAGAACCCTGCTACCCTGGTGAGGCCCCCTCAGATCCCTGGTGAGACCCCACAGAACCCTGCTACCCTAGTGAGGCCCCCTCAGAGCCTTGGTGAGACCCCACAGATCCCTGGTCTGTGGGGTCTCACCAGGGCCCTGAAGGGGTCTAACCAGGATGGCGAGAGCCTACATAGCCCTGCCGAGGCCCTACAGAGCCCTGGCAAAACTCTACAGATCCCTGATGAGACCCTGCAGAGCCCTGATTTAATCAGGGCTCTGCAGGGTCTCACGGGGCCCTGTGGGGTCTAACCAGGCTGGTGAGATCCCACATAGCCCTGGTGCGACCATACACAGCCCAGGTGAGAACCTACAGGTTTAACCAGGGCTCTGTGGGGTCTCACCAGAGCTCTGTGGGGTCTCACCAGAGCTCTGTGGGGTCTCACCAGAGCTCTGTGGGGTCTCACCAGAGCTCTGTGGGGTCTCACCAGAGCTCTGTGGGGTCTCACCAGAGCTCTGTGGGGTCTCACCAGAGCTCTGTGGGGTCTCACCAGAGCTCTGTGGGGTCTCACCAGAGCTCTGTGGGGTCTCACCAGAGCTCTGTGGGGTCTCACCAGGGCTCTGAGGGGATGAACCAGGCTGGTGATGAGACTCTACAGAGCCCTGGTGCTGGTGGGACCCTACAGAGTCCTGGTGAGACCATGCAGAGCATTGGTTTTAGCAGTGCTTCTTGAGGTCTCACTAGGGCTCTTTGGGGTCTCACCAGGGCTCTGAGGGGATGAACCAGGCTGGTGATGAGACTCTACAGAGCCCTGGTGCTGGTGAGACCCTACAGAGCCTGGTTTAACCGGGCCTGTGTGGGGTCTCACCAGGGCACTTTGGGGTCTCACCAGGGCTCTGTGGGGTTTCACCAAGACTGGTGAGACCCCCACAGAGCCCTGCTGAGACCCCCACAGAGCCCTAGTTTAACCAGGGCTCTTTGGGGTCTCACCAGGGCACTGAGGGGTCTAACCAGACTGGTGAAACCGCACAGAGCCCTGGTAAGACCCCACAGGCCTGAGTGGGGCCTCATGTTTAGGTTTCGCCTAAGGCCTCGCGAACTCTAGAGCCGCCTTTGGTGTGTATGTATGTATGTAAAGTATAGTATGTATGTATGTATTAGCAGCCTGTATGTTTATGTATTGTTTTACCTGTAGCTAAGTAGTTTGTGTATGTAGCATTTGTTGTGTAGTAAAAGTATGAAAGGTAGACAGGTTTTTTTGCATGCTGGCTGGTGAGTGTGCTGGGAAACTTTTTGCTGTTTTACTGTTTGAAGCCCTTCCATGTGCACCTTGCTGTAAAGTTGGTAACGAATTGATTAGTGCGTTTGCCATTTGTTTTGCTTGACATTAGTACATAACTTTTTTTAAGCACATTTCTAGAAGTTATGCATCTCAAAATATCAGTGGGAGTGATATAAGCTATACAGACTATTCACACCATATCAGATATGTACTTGGACTTACAGCAGCCAAACTTATTACCATATATCACTCTTGTGCTTGTTAGACAAGTGAAAACAAAGGCAATGCTGCTATAAGATTTGGCACGTCTCTGCTCAACGGTTAAATAGCTATATGTTAAAACTGCTGGAAAAATACATTTATAATTTACTCATTTTAAGTTGTTGAATTAATAATATTAAGATGAATTTTGAAACATATACAGATTTGAATAAAGTAGTAAAAGTGCACTGACTAGATGGGGAAGTTACAGTGTTGTGTAACGGTATCAGCCAAATGATCAGACCAGTGGTGATGTGCAATTTATACTTTACTAAACAAAGAAAATCAAGATAAACAGTGTAGACATGTTGTGGGCAGATCCAGTGCTGGAGTATCTCAGCAGAAGCTAGAGTGATCTGACAAAGTTTTCAAACCCATGCAATTGCTTTCTGTCCCAAGATTTATCCAGCCTGCTCTGTCTGTAGACAGGGAATCCTATCCCATTTTAGCTCACGGAACTAATAATTTTGTCTACACCTAAATATTATATCTACTGGTACATTACCATAAACAGTGAGTTGAAGGTGAAAGAACAAATAAATAAGGAATGTGGGATACTCCACATGTTTGGCACCAAGACTGCTCTGTATTACATTATTTTCAGAAATTCTGATAGAATAAAAATTATAATAGTAATACTAAAAATTGATGGTCATTGGAAAATGTATGGTTTGCTGATGGTCAGTGGAAAGGTGCCCCCCATTACACTGGTGATCAGTAGAAAAGGGTCCTTTAGATTGGCGGTCAGTGGGAGAAGGACCACCTTACATTGGTGATCAGTTGGAGAAGTACCTCCTTACATTGGGGTTCAGTGGGAGGACCTCCTTACATTTTGGGTTAGTAGGAGAAGGACCTTGTTACATTGGGGGTCAGTGGGAGAAGGATCTCGTTACATTGGGGGTCAGTGGGAGAAGGACCTTGTTACATTGGGGGTCAGTGGGAGAAGGACCTCGTTACATTGGGGGTCAGTTGGAGAAGGACCTTCTTACATTGGGGGTTAGTGGAAGAAGGACCTCCTTAAATTGGGTGTCAGTGGGTGAAGGACATCCTTACATTGGAGATCAGTTGGATAAGGACCTCCTTACATTGGGGGTCAGTGGGAGGAGGACCTCCTTACATTGGGGGTCAGTGGGAGGAGGACCTCCTTACATTGGTAATCAGTGGGAGAAGGACCTCCTTACATTGGTAATCGGTGGGAGAAGGACCTCCTTACATTGGGGGTCAGTGGGAGAAGGACCTACTTACATTGGTAGTCAGTGGGAGAAGGACCTCCTTACATTGGTGGTCAGTGTGAAGAAAGCCCTCACAGATAGGTAAAAAGATCATTGGTGTCGGTGATCTACTAGTTATCTTAGAGGCAGAAATTGCTCACTGCTCAAGAAACCCCTAGCAACCCCTGGAGGAACCCTGGTTGAGAGAGGCTGTTGTACACTACTCTCGCTATTTAGAGAAGAACTATGGGGCAAACTTTTTTGCCCATAGTTTTCTTCAGGGTCACGGAAGGACATATACTATGTCCTCCGGGTGACCCAGAACTCAGTATATAGTGGGCTGTTGCCTGCTATATGCTGAGAGAGCAGGACGGCTCCACAGCCGGGATGGATCCCGACAATACTGTTGAGATCCACCCTGCTAACTGATTGACAGCTGGCTCTGCCCGCCCCCTCCCTCGTCTGTTCCTCCAGACAGCGCTGGAGAAACAGAGAGGGGAGGAGGGGAATCCCTGCGGGTAGCAGTGACTGACACTCTATTCAGCGAGAGGCTCGGTAAATCAGCGAACAACGGTGTGTGTTTGCTGACTTCCCAAGCAATAGCGCTGACCTTTGACAGCTTCAGTGTCACAGGTTGGCTTGAATTATGGGAATGCTTTTCACTCCCCCCTTAATTCTCCTTTAATTTCTTTGTAACTTGACTGAATGTTTAGGTAAGAAAGAGTCAGAGAAATCATAATATGTAGAATAGCAAATCATTTAATTTTTTTAAATCATTTTAAAGTATTTTGTGACAAAAAAGAACCAATTAAACTAATTCATGCATTTCAGAATTTTTTTTAACATTTAAAGTTATGGTGGAGCAGGCACATAATGCTTTCCTTCAGTTTCTTCGCTGCACTGGGCGGAATATATTATATCCAACTCTGAAAAAAATAAGAGAATTTTGTATTCAGCAGTGAAATAAAATGATATATTTCATGTTTACATCTGCTCCATGTGAAGCATACAAGGGTGAGTAATACAGATAATACAAATACATAAAATGTTTCCAGTGGTGTATACCTACCAGTTGTATAAAAGACATAATCAGAAATTACAAGATAAACATGAAAGTGAAAATTCTATTTTTCTGTAGACTAATCTAACCAAAGTCATCTATGGTGTATATATTACAAGCCCCCAACCACCAGTGACCCTGGTTGGGGGCTTGTAATATATACCATCAAGCACCATTTGTCCGAGGATTTTCCAACATGTTTCTTCCGCAAAAGTTGATCTGATGATCGACTTCTGTGGAGGTGATGGGGTCACCAATGGGTTGAATTATGGCTGATTCCTGCTGAATCTGCCGAAATTCACTCTGTGTGTACCCAGCTTTACTTATTGTCTTGGCAAAAGTGGTTTCACCAGACAGGAAGTGCACAAAATCAATAACAGCAACACAAAAAGGGGTAACAAATAGAAGTCTCAGCATTATCAAGTTTTATTTTAACCATAGTCTGTGTATAGCAAAAAATAGGACATTTTAAAAATCAGTTAAACATACATCATATATTTGAGGATACACAAGTATCCTGTGTTTAGGTTAATAATTAATAACTGTGAAAAGGAATGTTAGTTTAATTATCAAGGATAGTATGTTATACAGTACGTGTGTGTATGTCTGTCTATGTATGTGTATATATAATATTTTTTTTTCTTGTCTTATCAAAAATAAGTTGTTTTCAAAGATTTGCATACATTATGGAGTATAACTCTATTGTTCCCCATTTTTGTTACTTATTATACTATGTTGAATCTTGGATGATTGTTTGAAATATTATATGAACAAACCTTTTGATGTGCTCTTATACGTTACCTGACGTATGAAAGCTAGAGTGAAGCTAGACCTGGGATATATTCCCTGTCAGTAGTGCCACACTATATCACTATGTTGCGTACCTTGTTTGCTGCCAGTTGTTCTGGAGGTTTTCAGCCTCTGATCTCAGCAACCAGGTGGTTTGAAGAACTAGCTGCCCAGACTCCTCCACAAAACACTGACCTGTGAACACTGTGATGGAATCTGTGAAAAGAACACTTGTGTTTAAAAATGATTCAGCTCTAGATACCAAATACAGTATACTGGAAGTATTGTGTTAATATGTGAGAATGGATAACCAGCTAGGATTCATTTTGGCTTTCTGTGTTTAACAGTGCACATCATAGGAAGTATTTACATAGACCAGGGGTAGGCAACCCGCGGCTTCAGGCCTGCATGTGGCTCCCTGTCCAGGGGCGGAACTACCGTTGAGGCCTTAGGGGGGGAGGGGCAGTGAGGTCCGGTTCTGGGCACCCACCCTGGTGGAATATGCGGCAGTGCAGGGCCCCGCACTGCCGACGGCTTCTCAGCAAGGGGGCGGGTCCTGTGACCCACCTTCTCTCCTAGCCACGTCCCTAGTAACAGGCGGCGGAAGAGGAGAATTGTGTGTCACATGCCCAGCCCCCTGCAGTGCACACTGTCCGGCTGGGATGCTGGCTGTGAGTCCGAATAGAAAAGTGGATTATAATGGGGAACATTACACTGTAATGTTGCCTATTATAACCTATTTCTCTGATTAACCCCTTCGTGACGGGAGACGTACACTGTACGTCCAGCTACAAAGGGACCAAATGAATCGTTGGGCGATGGAATGTGTGACCACCAATAGGTGAAGCATTCCAACGCTTTCTCAGCTGTTCCAGGGCAGATCGGCATCGCAAATCGTATGTGCAGGAGAACTGATCTGCCCTGGAACAGCTGTTCGGTCCTGAAATGTCACTTCTATCCGACTTTGTGAGTGGGGTGGTATGTGAGATTGCACTCACAGAGAGCGTTGGAATGCTTGACCTATTAGCGGTCACACATTCCACCGCCAATAAAATGGGCGGGATTCGATTGAAATGCGTGATAACGTCACTGGCCACACATTGTAACATAGCCCAGCCCACCTGAGGCCCTGCAGAGCCCACCATAAAGAGTCTCAGATGGGCTGTGCAGGATCTATGGTGTGCTCTGCAGGGTCACTCTCAGGTGGGCTCTGCGGGTATGTCCAGTGCGTTACTAAGCCCTGAGTCCAGTGCGTTACTAAGCCCTGAGTCCAGTGAGTTACTAAGCCCACATAAACCTATATACATGCTATACATTGCATAAAGATAAAAAACGATATATGCCGTGTTATCTTCATTTTAAATGTCAAAAGGGTTTTGTGGCTCCCGGTGTTTTCTTTTCTGTGGGAAACGGGTCCAAATGGCTCTTTGAGTGTCTTAGGTTGTTGACCCCTGACGTAGACTGAAAAGGTAATTATGTCTGTTTGATCCCCCCTAACACAATGCTCACATTTTTTTGAAATTGCTGTTCTTTATGAAACATTTTTGAAAATCTCTCAAAAATGTGTTGAAGAATGAAAAAGAAAAAATGAACCCTTGTAGCAGGGCTATACCTCTACTGCATGGGATAACTTTTTCTTGACAGACCGGAATACAGATGATATTCTCACCTGATCCTCGGTCCTACAGCAGTGACTGCTCACCTCTCTCCCCATCCGCTCTGGATATGGTATGTCCCTCTGCATCTTCAGCTCTAATAGACCTGTATTAGATGGGTCCTTAGACCGCTGGAGTATGGGGAGAAGAGGCTGCGGGGACTGGCCTAGCAGCTACGTGGGACTGAAGATCGGGTGAGTATTTCTTTATTTTCACCCCCTAGACAAAATGAGTACTTAACCCTTGCAGTGCGGGGGTAGTTCCACTGCAAGGGTTACATTTTCAAAATCCTGGTGTTCTGCCCTAAAACTCTACGTGGAAAACAATGTATTCTCATTTATTAGCGCAGTGTTTACCGTAAAGAAATTGTAGAAAAGTGTCACATTTTTAAAATGCTTGATGTTCCAATTTTTGTTATAGTAATATGATTTGTAATTCTGTTCTTGTGATGCAGGGGCCACCTGTAGACTGCAGTGCAGCCTGGTCTAGGACCTACTAGCCTGGGAATGGACAATGAAGGAGCAGTAGAATATGGATGAGGTCACCACAATGCTCTCTAACCCTATCAAGTAGCTTCTGCTTGTAAACATGTAGAAAATAATGTTTTTCTTTCCTAAAGAATTCAAAGCTGGATTAGTTGGTGCTTTAATATCTGCCAGGATTTTCACTTCAAGACTACATGCAGGCGGCCCTTAGAAATTTACTGATCACTTACGCATTTTTTTTTTCTGGCCAAAAAGTTCCAGCATAAATGATCAGGAAATGCTTGTCCTTAGCTGCATTTAGATGTATAAACACATGTGTTTAACTGCGTAACATTCTCATTCCATACGTTCTGCTCTGTTTTCAATGTGATTTTCTTGTTGGACTTTGCGTTTACACGTGTAAAATGTGTGTTCTCAGATGCATATTTTTTTTTTATTTTGAGTTACGCTTTGGAACGCACTAGCATGCTTACACACTTGTGTGCATGGCACCTTGGAAAACAATATGCCTGCATTCCAAGCCTTAAAAAAAGATTCTTTGCATTGGGTTTTTCTTTACAGCCACGTGCAATTAGTCTAAGGATACAGGATCAGCTTAATAAAAGTAACATAAAAGAAAATATAACTTACTGCTAAAACGCCACTTCACTGTAAATCCAAATGATGGCAGATCAGTTAGTTGTTGATATCCAATCAGAGGCGATTCTACAATTGTTTTACTAGTGCTAGATACAGCTGTCAGATATTTGCCGAAAAACGTTCCATTTTTGAAGACAGTATCAATGGTCATGTTAGAGCCGAGATCATTCTTCCACTGCCCAGCCAGTCGGCATGATGTATCCTGCAGAAGATGGAGAGAGTAAATCATTGGTGTTATGCAGATTTGGTAAAACCAGAGTAGAATCGCAATGTATTTCTGGGCACTTTTGTTATAAGTTTGAATACAGTGAGGAAGGGTTAGATCTTCTGTCATGTTTTTATATCAGTCTGTGTCCTCGTCAGGGAGTGTTACCCCTCTATTTGCAGTGTGACCATTGTGAAGGTGAGGGGAAATCTAAACTTTAAGTTGCTGCCCGAGCAGAAGGTAAAAGAAAATCTTGCAATGGAGACACCTGTTTCGGGGAAACTTTCTAACAAATTTATTCCCTTTTTTTTTAGATTTAATTTAACTTTCGTTTGCATCATCTTGGACATGAAATAAAGGGAAATCTCCCCAATGGGACACAGACAGCAAAAAATAAACTGGCAAGGGTTTTATAACCCTTCCCTACTCCTCTATTCCCTACTTTTCTGGGAGCCACCCCTTCCCCCCTCCCAAATAAAAGGTCTAAATGAAATCTGAAAAATATATATATTTTTTCAGATTTCATTTAGACCTTTTATATAAAAAACCTTATGAAAGCTGCTGTGTGTGAAAGCAGTTGTCTCTCTGCAGAGCTCAGACAAACCAGACAAATAAGAAATCAGAAATCTTTAAACAGCAGAAAGTGTGAATTTAGCTGATTGCAGAGTTGCAGGTCTGACTCTGCGGGGGCATGTTGGACGTCTGCAGAGAGGTCAGTGTTTCCTCACTGCAAACAAGAGTCCTTCTCCACATCATGCTGACAGGAAAGAAGCTTGATGTGAAACCAGACTGTAAGACTTTGTTTTGAGGCACTGGGGTGTCCTTCGTTCACAATGGACCGATGTAGAGCTTGATTAGATTGGCGCTACTCTCTGCCACAGTAAGGACTGCCAAACCTCAAGAGGAGGTGAGGAAGAAGGGAACTCTGTGCAGTCACGTGACAGGCTTGAAGACTTTGGAAAAGGCACATTTTTTTTTTTTAAGATTTTTGTTTTAGATCGTTTTTTCTTCTTGCTATATATATAGGCTAAATCAGCGGTCGCCACCCTTTCGGACCTCTTGGACGACTAAATTCATAATTTTAAATCCTGCGGACCACTAATATGAATTTTTACAAAAAATATATATATTCTCATATTTTTTGTTTCCTCATATATAAATATATTTGTGTGTGTATATATGTATATATATAAAAATATATATACAGTATATATACACACATACATTCATAGGTGCGGGTGTGCCTGCAGGAGTGGCAGTGCTGGTGGAGGGAGGGAGCGGTGCCACCCGCCCCGGCCCAGTAATAAAATTAATTGTTTCCCCCCTTATCGAACCTGCCACTGGCCCTGTCAGCAGCACCCGGGGCATATGCTCCCCCTAGCTTCAGCACTGCCCCCAACCACCCCCATGCCTCCCTTTCCCCCACACAGAGCCAATGGCTTCTCCCCACTTTGTCTATGTCCCGCAGCCTGCTCAGTCCGGGTACTGAGGAGATGCCCCGCCTCCTGCAGAACCCGCACTGTACTGAGAGCCGCACATTCCTTGTGACAGCCGCTGCTTGAGTCAGTGAGAGGCAGCCCCAGAGCCTCCATGCCGCTTGGACGGCCCAATGACGGCCCAGCCTGCATGGCATCAAAGGGGCCACCAAATTTTTCTCGCGGACCACGGACCACCGCTGGTCTAAATGGTAAAATAATGAAAATACAGAGCATCATACTGTAGGTTTTTTTAAATGAAAGTACTGTTTTAGGTAATGCACCCATACATTGCAGTGTATCGGCAGGCAGGAACAGACATATACAGAGTAAACAATGGAAACTGTTTCTTCAGTGTCTTAATGGACTACACATTTTCTGGTGAATATGTTTTTAAACTAATAATTCAAACTTTGGAAATTTACAGTACTATCAAAGAAGTCAGACAATACAATACAAATCAATACAAATGACTAAGTTTTGTAAATTAGTTTCCAGTTCCTACCTTCTGCTCTCACCTATTACCATACCAGTTATACTATGATAGCTATGGAGACAAAATGTAACTTTTCATTTTGTTTTGGATAGAGAGGAGACTATCCCAGTGACAAATGTTCCCCCACTTATGTCATGGCCAAAAATATTGGCAACCCTACATTTCCGTCAGATAATGCAGTCCGTTTTTGGAGTTTTGTGTGGAATGTGTCAGATTTGGCTTTTTTTTTCTCCACTTTTTTGTGTCATACCAATACAAACAAAAGAAATTAACATGAGACTGCCTAAACATTTGCAATTGAAACAATTTTTTGCACGAAGTGGTGCATTCTCTGACAGGAATGCAGGGGTGCCATGACTGTAGGTTTCATTCGAGACAAGAAGCCAGGAATAATTTTAACTCCCTATCAAAAACTACAAGACACCATTGTCTGGAGTTTTAAGATTCTTGGATTGCAAATAGAATTGATTACTTCACCCCTACACTTTGCTGCTTTTTTTAGAGCATGTGTTAACATAGATAAAAAAGTGGAGCATCTCTATCATATATAGAATGCTAAAAATGTGCACATTTCATTATGAGAGGTAAAACCGGCTACCCTTCTATAGTTTACCTTTCCATCGATACAAAGAGCCAAGCTCAGCAGAGCCAGAGCGAGTACTGCAGGGATCTTCATCCTCATTGTGCCTCTCCAGGATCTGAGTTTTACAGCTTAGCAGTGTTGTATTTATACAACTGGATGACTCATTTTCTGAAGTTACAGCTCATCTTGCCAAATATTGAATGACCTACTGTAGGATGATGACTTTATTTCTATGACACAAAACTAAAGTTTCCCAATCATCCAACAGCCTTCCAAATGCTGCAACTGCTCCACCCCTTATAAAGGAGACAAGGAAGACATGACACAATTTTCTTCATCATGTTATGGTTTAGTCATGGATAAGAATTATCTAGCTCAAGATGGTCTGCTACATGAAGAACTCATGAGACACATTTATGTGTATTTTATACTTCTGGGCTATGTTGAGCACCCTGAGAGCCCTGCACCCAAAGCAAGCCATTGGATCTGCAGGAACAGCCTATGTCCAAACAGGAATTGGTTAAAGAGATTAAGTGCTTCCACAGCACCTAGCCACGTGGTCATCCTGCCACCCAGCTACAGGGGTTCTGTTACACTGCAGAGGGAACAAGAAATGTAACAGAAAGGTTAAAAGACAAGTGAATTTTCAAGCCCTGAATATATTCTATATTACCAAAAGTATTGGGACGTCTGCCTTTACACGCACACGAACTTTAATGGCATCCCAGTCTTAGTCCGTAGGGTTCAATATTGAGTTGGCCCACCCTTTGCAGCTACAACAGCTTCAACTCTTCTGGGAAGGCTGTCCACAAGGTTTAGGAGTGTGTCTATGGGAATGTTTGACCATTCTTCCAGAAGCGCATTTGTGAGGTCAGGTACTGATGTTGGACGAGAAGGCCGTGCTCGCAGTCTCTGCTCTAATTCATCCCAAATGTGCTCATAGGGTTAAGGTCAGGACTCTGTGCAGGCTATTAAAGTTCCTCCACCCCAAACTCTCTCATCCATGTCTTTATGGACGTTGCTTTGTGCACTGGTGCGCAGTCATGTTGGAACCGGAAGGGGCCATCCCCAAACTGTTCCCACAAATTTGGGAGCATGAAATATTCCAAAATGTCTTGGTGTGCTGGTGCCTTAAGAGTTCCCTTCACTGGAACTAAGGGGCCAAGCCCAACCCCTGAAAAACAACCCCGCACCATAATCCCCCCTCCACCAAACTTTATACTTGGCACAATGCAGTCAGGCAAGTACTGTTCTCCTGGCAACCACGAAACCCAGACACGTCCATCGGATTGCCAGACAGAGAAGCGTGATTCGTCACTCCAGAGAACACGTCTCCACTTCTCTAGAGTCCAGTGGTGGTGTGCTTTAAACCACTGCATTGCAATTGGTGATGTAAGGCTTGGTTGCAGCTGCTCGGCCATGAAAACCCATTCCATGAAGCTCTTTGCGCACTGTTGTTGTGCCAATCTGAAGTCCACACGATGTTTGGAGGTCTGTAGCTATTGACTCTGCAGACAGTTGCCGACTTCTGCGCACTGTGCGCTTCAGCATACGCTGACCCTGATCTGTCATTTTACGTGGTCTACCACTTTGTGGCTGAGTTGCTGTTGTTCCCAGTTGCTTCCACTTTGTTATAATACCACTAACAGTTGACCGTGGAATATTTAGTAGCAAGGAAATTTCACGGAACACCTGAATGCAATGAATTGCACGGGTGTCCCAATACTTTTGGTAATATAAGGTGATCGTATGCCCCTTAATTGACTCATCTCCTGTAAGCAGCTTAAATTACCAATTCTACATTTATTTAAAATACACCTGCCCTAAAACAAGGACTTTTCTAACCTCCTTTCTGTAGAGTTTCATAGTCACCCATGGGCAGAAAGATTGCATTGCATTCCTGTGGTGAGCCCAGATAGACATATCCCTGCCTTCTGTTCTGCCTTTGTTATAATACCACTAACAGTTGACCGTGGAATATTTAGTAGCATGGAAATTTCATGGATGGACTTATTGCACAGGTGGCAACCTATCACGGTACCACGCTTGAATTCACTGAGCTCCTGAGAGCGACCCATTCTTTTACAAATGTTTGTAGACGCGTCTGCATGCCTAGGTGCTTGATTTTATACACCTGTGGCTATGGAGGTGATTGGAACACCTGAATCCAATGATTTGGAGGAGTGCCCAAATAGTTTTGGCAATATAGTGTACTCTAAATGAGTCTTCATAGCATGAGACACTCAGACCTCAGAGTGCATTGTATTAAATCATTTCTGAAAGTGCATCTTTACTTTCATAAACCTGCCCCTTTTATTTTATGTAGCCCAGTGAAGTGTAAGTGAAGTTTGTCCTGCTTTCTGCACTTTCCTGCCACGGGTTCAGACCCATTGTAGCATTTGCAGACATTCACACTACCACCACCAATGTGAGCAGCAGGACTATATTCAAAAACATGGCGTGCCTACAGTTCTGTACTAATCCTGTGACATCAGAGGCTGACACAAACATTGCACAGCACTGCCAGGATTCGCATTGGCTCTGGTTAGAAGTCTTTGTTGTCTAATGCTATACAGGACCATTCCCTGGCCATCTCTTCATATTTACTGATGAGCTACTGCGGTCATGTGACAGCTACATAAAAGATCCTAAAAGTGCTAAGTGCAGACTGAAAATATAATGATTATGCCTTACTGTAAGAATTTTTATAGGTATTGGTTAGTTCATTGTAAATTACTTCACATACACTATAAACTCATATTCATCTGCACTGAGTAGAATCGATTGAGGTGGACTGGGCACACAGCCCCTGGAAAACTATTGCTTCAGCTGTTCCAAGCACATCCTCTGGTAGGAAGCCTACGTGACAAAAAAAAAAATCGACTTCTGCGCTTTTACCTAAAAATGTAAACAGTGTTGTAATAAGACATAATTTAGCACACAGAAACGTTATGCAATAGTGGTTTGGGGTTTACGGTAATTTTTTTTATGATGCTTGCATGACATCCTAGAAATGTATGATTGCTTAGTTTCTAAAGCTACAGCTCCAAAAGTGATTATTCACACTATATCTGCACCAGAACAGCATAGTATTTCTAAAGAAAATACCAAGATTAGGTGGTCTCTCTAATGACAAATTGCACAATACACCCAGCAGTTGAAGCTCGATAGATCTCCTTGTCTGTTCAGATGCATCAATACCGTAAAAATGGACCTTTTAGGAATGCCTTTTATCCACAGATTATAATGGCAACTGTTCACATATACAACAGCTCCAACATGAGAGAGCATGACAATAAGGAGATTAAAAATGCAGTTTACACATCTACCAATGCTTTCCAGTCATTACAGTCAGCAACAATGTAGAATGAGTCTATTTGTCCCTGAGGTAGGGGATAACCACAGAAGAAAGCAAGGTAGTGGTGCCACCATTTTTTAACCCCATTTTCACTATTGTTAAAGGTGAGGGTGAGGGACTGGGAAAGGGATAGGCATTGGAGGATGGTTGATTTCCTCTGACCACATAAAGGTGAAAAAGGGAAAGAAAAACACCAGAAGGTATAATCCCAGGGGTAAATGTAGGACTTGGAAACATGATGCATATTTGGGCGTGAGCCAGCCTCCAAATGGAGGCTGAGTGCTAGGAGTAGGAAGCAAGAAAAAAGTAAGTGGGGATTGGTAGAGAGGATGGAGGTAGGGAAGGTGGATGGGTAAGAACCCTCAAGGGAAATGAGGAGCAGGGCTTGTAGGGGATGCATTATGGAAGAAGGAAGATGGGGGTGGGGGGAAAGGAGGCAAGGAAATGGTAGGGAGGGAGAACTGAAGATGGGGGAGGGGCAAAATCATGAAAAAAACCTCAGTAAGAGCCTGCCAAGAGGCCTTTACTGTCCTCAGAAAAGTTGAAGCAAGTCTATAAATGCCAAATTATGTGCTTGTGCTTTAATCTTTCCATCCAATACTTTAATTACCAAATACAGAAAGTTAAATTGCAATATGAGGTAGTCGATTCTAACTTTTAGATTGTTCAGGGTGCCAAACAAATTCTATAGACTCTGAACCTTCCCATATACACAGACTATGTATCTGTTTCACATATTTAATTCAGTGCCTGGCCCCTTAATAATTAAAGCAGATAATCTGACAGCCTCATTTATAAATTTTGAATTTGCCTCTTCCATTTCTGCTTCCGATAAAATCAACTCCACCACCCTTGTCATGCTCTCTAAATATATAGAGGGACGTCATGCTGACTAACATCACCAGGCTGCCTCCTCCCTCCTTCCTCCTTGCCATCTCAGGCAGCTAATAAGGTGGGGACAACCCTGTCTAGAAACATTAACTTCTCTAGTTTCATAAAGAACTAATGTAAATCAGTGTCTTCCAAAGAATTGTTATCAAAACACGCATCATTGGCATGACCATTATCCAATAATATCCAAAACTTCAAGTCAATACCATTGTTGCTTCAGCTATTCAAAATGTATGTTGTAACTAAAAGTCCAAAAGTGAATATACACGCAATATCTACTCTGGAGCAGCACAAATAACCACTACTGTACACCAAATCAAATAATGAATGTAAGCATTCCTGAGCACACCAATTCCTCTTCACAACACACTGCTCCTTGCCCCACCATACCAATTGAGAGAAGATACACAGTACATTTCCACAGCACACATGAGAGAGTTTGCCTCTCTCATGAATAATTGAAGAATTTACCCAGAAGTTGAAAGCTTCTCTAAAACTGAACCTGATACACTTCTGTACACATTGGCCACTCCGCAAACCCATTCACACTGCAAGCCCTAGTTCCAGTCTCAGCAGTGCATGCTTTGCACAAGCACTTCTGTGTTCCAAGCCTCACTTTCAACCCCGACAGTGAATGCTGATGAACCTTCGATCTCCTGGCGGGGGCTTCTTATCCATTGCTTCTAATAAAATATAGGAAACACTTCTCCTGGTGCAATAATTAACACACATCTTTATTACTTAACTCCCCACAATTGTTTCACATGTATAGACCAGTCCTTAAGAAACCAAAACTTCCTTCCAGATAGTTCCAAGCTCAAAATCTTATCTACTGCATGATCCAATCATT